ACTTCTTCTTAATAAGTCGCTGTGATCATCCTGTGTCCTTCAAGGAAATCCACCAGGATTACCCCTTTGGAATGCCCCAAAACAGATGGCATAACCTTCTGAGCTGACCTCTCTGCCTTGAATTTAACTGGCCCTGCAGTTAACAGGGCCAGTTAACTCCCCTCAGAAGATACTGTTTTGATTGGACCTTTGTTGTTGCTAAGTCACCCTAGCAAGATTAAGACAAGTGTATTACTGACAGAACTGGTCTTCAGCCACCCATAGATTGCAGACATGTTTACAAACATTTTGTTTGGAATAAACCTGTGCATATATGAACTAGAACCATAGAACCAATATTTTTCACTTACCCTCACACTTACTGTTTACATTATATGTATTTTTTCCATTTATTTACTTTCAATCTATCTATGTCTCAAATGGAGTCCTGGTGTGGCGCTGTGGATTAATGTGCCAGACTGAAAAGCAGTTTGAACTGCAAGGTCAGTGGTTCAAGCTCACCAGCTGCTCCTCGGAAACCCTATACAGGGTTGCTATGGGTTGGAATCGACTCAATGGCACTTAACAACAACAACAACGTCTTAAATAGGGAGCACTGTGGCTCTGTAGGATAAGAACAGGACTGCAAACCACTAGGTTAGCGATTCAGGTCTACCAGTTGTTCTCCAGGGGAAAGATGAGGCTTTCTGCTCCCACAAAGAAACCCTATACAGAGTCATTCTGAATCAGAATTGATTCCAGGACACTAAACAAAAACATCATGTCTTAAACTGAACTTTCATCTTTTGTAAGTATAATATAATTGGATCTTGCATTTTTATCCATTCTGACATATTCTGCCTTTGAATTAGTGTGTTTAATCCATTAACATTTAAAGTACTCATTCCTATGGTTGGATTTAGGCCCACTCGTTCAGGCTTGTTTTCTGTTTCTTCCCATCCTTGGGGTGTGTATGTATGTGTATTTTGTTCTTATGTTCCTCCCTTCTCTTGTTTATATTTTAGAGCTCCACTGTGTGGTGCTGTATGATAAGCACTGGACCACATGGCTGGTTTGAGCTGAAAGGTTGGCAGTTCAAACCCACAAGCCACTCCTCGGAAACACTATACATGGTCGCTATGAGTCGGAACCAACTGGATGGCACTTGACAACAACAAAAACTAGTCTTTCAGCTACACATTTTGTATTATTTTGTTAGATGTTTTAGGGATTACAATGTAAAACTTTTTACAGTCTATTCAGAGTTAATACTGTTCCTCTTCATAAAAATTATAGAAACTTTGTTGTTGTTGTTAAGTGCTGTGGAGTCAGTTCCAACTCATAGCAACCCTGTGTAGGGTTTCCAAGGAGCGACTGGTGAGTCTGAACCATCAACCTTGTGGTGTAAACCGACCTGGCGGTCCAGTGCCCTACAGTGCCCCAGGAACACTATAATCCTGTAATTCCCTCCCTGTTCTTTATGCTATTGTTGCATACGTATTGTAACTACATAAATTCACAAGACAATATCATAAATTTTGTTTTTATATAGTTTTTAAGACAGTATTTTGGGAGATCCGGGGCAAGATGGCAGAGTAGGCAGATGCACTGAAGAGACCCTCTGCAACAAAGACATGGGAAAACAAATGATAAGGATATAGAAAGTGGCCCTGGAACCCTGAGTTTCAGAAGATAGAACAGACGTGGTCTGAATGCTGACTGGGAGAGGAAATTCAAGAGGAGTAGTGAGAGAGAAGAAATATAAGCAGGCTGGCAGCTGGTGTGGACATGTTATAATAAACACTTTAAAAACCAAAGACTAGGAAAAAATCTTGAGAGCAGCTTGGGAAAAACTGAAAGTTACCTACAAAGGTGAACTAATAAGACTAAGCTCTGATTTAGCAACAAAGATCATGCAGGCAAGAAGACAATGGAATGACATATATAAAAATCTTAACAAATTTGCAAAAATAAGACAAACCTTACAAAAAAACAATAAAGGGAATTCTTTTGACAGAGAACCAACAACATCAGACAACCTGAGACTAACATACATGAAAATATCATCCAGAACTCAACCCAGATATATTGTTGTTGTTGTTAAGTGCCATCGAGTCAGTTCCAACTCATATCAACCCTGTTACGGGGTTTCCCAGGAGTGGCTGGTGAGTTCGAACCACTGACCTTGCAGTTCAAACTAAACTTGCAGTCCAGTGCTTATCTTATAGCAGCACACCAGGGACCAGATATAGAAGTATTCAAAGAAAAAACCTGTAAGATAGAAAATAGGAAACCAATATACTGGTTGGTGGTAACAACAACAACAAAAATAAATACATATAGTAAAAAGACTGAATAATATAGTTACAGAACTTCCAAATGAAGGAGAAATAAAGTTGATTTCAAGAAAAAGAAAATAAATAAAAACCTAACTGTAATCCTAGAACTAGACCAAGACTTACTCCTTAGGTCTAGCCCAGGCTCTAGCCCTAACATTAACCAGAGTACTAACCATAGCCCTAACACCAGCGGAAGTCCTTGACGTTGCCTGTTGTTGCTATTGTTAGGTGCCACCCAGTCAGTTTCAACTCAAAGCAGCCCATACACAACAGAACAAAACACTGTCTGGTCCTGCGCCACCCTCACAATTGTTATGTTTGAGCCCACTGCTGCTGACTCTGTGTAAATCCATCTCACTGAAGTCTTTCTTTTTTCACTGACCCTCCACTTTACCAAGCACAATGCCCTTCTCGAAGGCATTGTCTCTCCTGATAATATGTCCAAAGTATAAGAGACCAAGTCTGACCATCATGGCTTCTAAGGAGCTCTCTGGCTGTACTGTAGATTTGTTTGTTCTTCATTCTGTCCATGGTACTTTCAATATTCTTCTCTAGTACCAAAACTCAAATGCATCAATTCTTCTACAGTCTTATTATTGATTGTCCAACTTTCACATGTATATGACGCTACTGAATATACCATGGCTTAGGTCAAATGCACTTCAGGCCTCAAACTGCTATTTTTTTGTTCTTCAACACTTTAAAGGGTATTATGAGAAGATTTGCCTATTGCAGTATGTCATCTGGTTTCTTGGCTGCTGCTTGCATGAGTGTTGATTAAGGATTCAAGTAAAATGAAGTTTTTGACAACTTAACAGTTTTCTCCATTTATCATGATGTTATTTATTAGTCAAGTGGTGAGGATTTTTGTTTTCTTCACATTGAGGTGCAACCCTCTTCGAAAGCTATGGCCTTTGATCTTCATCAGTAAATATTTTAAGTCCTCTTCGCTTTCAACAAGCAAGGTTGTATCATCTGTATATTGTAGGCTGCTATCAATCCTAATGCCATGTTCTTCATATAATCCAACTTCTTGGATTATTTGCTCAGCATACATATTGAATAAGTATGGTGAACAAATACAGCCCTGGCACACACCTTTCCTGATTTTAAACCATTCAGCAGCCCCTTGTTCTGTTCAAATGACTGCCTTTTGGTTTATGTACAGGTTTCTCATGAGCACAATTAGGTGTTCTTGAATACCCATTCTTTACAGTGTTATCCATAGTATGTCATGATCCACACAGCCTAACGACTTTGTATAGTCAATGAAACACAAGTAAGCATCTTTCTTGTATTTATCTGTTTTCAGTCAAGATTCATCTAACATTAGCTATGATAGTCCTTGTTCCATGTTCTCTTCTAAATCCAGCTTGAATATCTGGTAGTTCCCTGTCAATGTACTGTTGCAACCGCTTTTGAATTATCTTCAGAAAAAATTTACTTGCATGTATTATTATTGATATTGTTTGATGAGCTCCACATTCTGTTGAGTCATTTCTCTTTAGAATGGGCACAAATACAAATCTCTTGCAACAGTTTGGCCAAATTTCTTGACACAGACAAGTAACTGTCTCTAGCACTGCATCAATTTGTGGAAACATTTTAATTTGGATTCTGTCAATTCCTGGAGCCTTGCTTTTCACCAATGCCTTCAGTGTAGCTTGGATTTCTTTAACATCAGTACTACTGGTTCCTGATCATATGGTATCTCTTAAATGGTTGAACACCCACCATATAGGAAGGGTGCCTCTTTAAAGGTAGCATTAAAAACATCACTCTAAAAGCACACAGGATAAGTGACAATATAGACCAATTCATGAACTTAATTTTACTTAATGTTTAATGACTATCTCAGTGCAGATATTCTTGTACCCTCCTCTACCATACACCCCTTGGCTAAGTCCCAGTAAGTTTGACAGAAAGGAGGAAATATCAGTGTTTCATAACTGGTATCTAAGCAGACATCACCGATTGATCGTGATGCAATTTCTCACTAGGTCTACATTCAAAATCCTTCTAAAAACAAAATTTGCTGTCAGCATTGGAACTGATATGTCTTTGCCTTCCCTTTCTGTGAGTTTGTCTCCCACAAGATTAGCAGATCAGGGATAACAGTCAGAAATACTCCTCTCCAGCTAGGCAAAGACCTAACAGAATAACCAATTAAAAGGAGATTGGGTAAACGTACCTCAGTCCTTTTTTCCTAATCTAAAACCAGACCCACAGCCGATTCACAGTGACTCTGTAGGAAGAGTAGAACTGCCCTATGGGGTTTCTGAGGCTGTAAATCTTCACAGAGACAGACAGTCACATCTTCACCGTTGGAATGGCTAATGGGTTAGAACCACCAACTTTTTGGTTAGAAGCCAAGCACTTAAACACAGTACCACCAGTGAGTAGCTCCCTTGTAGTTGTTGGTAAGTGCCATTGAGTCGGTTTCAACTCATTGTAACTCTGCATAGGGTTTCCGAGGAGAAACTGGCGGGTTTGAACTGAGCCACCACCAGTGGCTTTGTTACAGTCCCTAAATTACATCCAGTTAGGAAAGGATTCTGTGGACAAAAGTCAAAAAAAACCTTCAATTGCATGTCATTTTCTTTACATCTCTTGGGGAGTTTAACTTACTGTATGATCATTCCCAATGAAAATGCGTCCACTTTCGTTTAAATAGTGACTCACCTGACAGTTAACGCAGACTCCTCCACCTGCATAGATGCCTTGCATGTTCAAGCTTGCCTGCTGCCTCTCAACATCTGCATCATAGTAACAGTCGATGGCATGACCATGGCAGTTGCATGCTAGGGGAGTGGGGGAGCACATTAAGTCAACATTCCATCATTACTACAAGTAACTTCTCCCAGATAATATTACTGCTCATTGAGCTACAGTAAAGTCTATTCTGAAACACCAGGGATTCTCTTGGTGGAAATTTTCTTTAAGCATTACACTAAGATCCACCTACAATAATATGTCATTGATAGCTCCTTTCACCTGATATTAAGTGGAATGTTTCTCTTTTTAAATAAACGGTGGTGGTTATGAGCAGTTCCAACTCATAGTGACCCTGTATATGTTAACAAGGCTGTAAATCTTTACAGGAACAGAAGGTCTCATCTTTCTCCTGGGGAGCAATTGGTAGATTCGAATTACTGACCTTGTGATTAGCAGCTCAGCTCGTAATCCACTACACTACCAGGACTCCTTAATTTTAAATAAATAATTACAACAAATTAAGACCAAACAATGTACCAATTAAATTTAACGCACAAAGAAAATGTTACTTCTGCTGGTATTAAACCCATCAGCTGCTCCTGGGGAAAATCTCTGCAGGAGAAAGAAGACACAGACTGTTTCCATAAAGCCTCACAGGCTCGGAAACCCTATGAAGCAGCTCTATCCTGTCCTATAAGGTTGCTATGAGTTGGAATCAACTCGGTGACAGTGAATTTGGGTTTTATGTTTTGTTTTGAGATTATTACTACTAGCAAAAGTAATGGCACGCTCGGTATTCTGTGAAAAGCGTTTTACATGTATTATCTCATTTAATCTGCACAGAAACTCTCTAAGGTAGGTACCCTTACCCTCATAGCCCACCTAGGGGAGCTTAGGCATCGAGAAATTACAGAATGTGCCTACAGCTACACAGTTTTTAAGTAAGAGGCAGAATTCTCACCTGCCTTTGTTTAGCTCAAGACCCTATACTCTCAGCCAATACCCTAAGTTTTTCATCTTGTTATTGCCAAGTGCCATCGAGTCCAATCTGACTCATAGTGACCCTGTACAGGGTTTCCAAGGAACAGCTAGTAAATATGAACTGCCAAACTTGTGGTTCACAGTCCAGTGTTGATCCTACAATAAATAGAAAGAACCTTAATGTTTCATTATAGGGAGATCACTAAGCATGGATGAACTACTACACTTTTGCGTGATTGCTAGATCTCTGAAGGCAGGGACTGCACATGTTTTGCTCGAAATAGAACAGAGTCTTTGGGATATAAAGCAAATTCACTGCCATTGAGTCAATTCCAAGTTGTAGCAACCCCATATAGGGTTTCTGAAGCTGCAAATCTTTGGTGGTGGTGGTGGTTATGTGCCATGGCATTGGTTCTGACTCATAGTGACCCTATTATAGGGTTTCCGAAACTGAAAATCTTTACAGGAGCAGAAAGCCTCGTCTTTCTCCTGCAGAACCTCTGGTAGTTTCGACCTGTTGACCATGAAATTAGCCGCCCAACTCATAACCACTACGCAACCAGAGCTCTTTTGCAAATCTTTATGGGAGCAGAAAGCCTCATCTTTCTTCCATGGAGTAGCTGGTAGGTTTGAACTGCCAACCTTGTGGTTAGCAGTCCAGTGTTTATCTAATGAGACCTAGTGGGTTGTTAACAAGCATTTATTGGATGAACTTAAATACACTAGATGACAGCACTGTGTGCCATCAAAAATAATGTCAAATAAGAAGCAACTACTGGTCACTCCTTGCCTGGAGCATAGGAGAACAAAGAAAAATCAAAACTCAGCAAAATAATTATTCCAAAGTACTAACGGTCCACACTGACCACAGCCACAAAGCCAGAGAACTAATGGTGCTCAACTGCCTCTACCAACCACTCTGCCCCAGGACCACCATGGAAGATTCCAGTTAGAATGGGCTAAAAAAATGTTGAACTAATTTAAAAGCAAAGAAAGAGAGACCAGACTTACTAGTTGGAAAGAGACTAGAGAAACCCCCCAAGACTGCTGTCCTGAAGAAACCGTCTCACTTGAAACTGAAGACACTCTCGGAAGCCTCCTTCCAGGCAAATAATAAAATAATTAACAATACTATAAGATGAACAACAATACCCATGAAAAATGTGCTCCTCAGAATTATTAACCATCCCAAAAGAGCACCACTGCTCCAAACCAAAGATGAGAAGACAGAGAGAACAAGGAAACCCAACGAGTGGAAACAGGGAACCCAGGGAAGAAATAGAGAATGCTGTCAGTGTGAACTGGAAAGTCAGTAGTTCAAGCTCACCAGCCGCTCCTTAGAAACCCTATTATACAGGGTCGCTATGAATCGGAACTGACTTGATGGCACTTAACAACAACAATACATTAGGGGGACTGCAACCAAAGTCATTTGTGTACGAACTGTTGATTGAGAAACCTAATTTGCTATGTAAACTTTCACCTGGTGGTACTGGTGGCTGCTATATGCCATGGAGTTGGTTTCAACCTTATAGTGAGGGTACCCTGTATTGGGTTTCTGAAGCTGTAAATCTTTTTTTCTGTTCTATGGGGTATATTTTTTACATTTTTATTGTAAATTGAGTGACAGTTATATTGGTTATACACTCATCGTTTCATTGCAATGATGATTACAATCTCCTCCTTGCATCATCATTTAACAATATTTGCTGATATTGCTTTTTTTTTGATGTACACAAAAACACTCAGGAATATATAATCATTTAAACAACCAAATGGCACATTCTGCAAACCTGCCTCCTGTCCACACACAAGCACACAGTCTTTCTCTTTCCATGAGTCTAGAGTCCTCGTCTGCTCTATTTGTCCATGTCCTCATCTCTGCCTCCATCTCTGGTGTCACTGTGGAGTTGTAAATCTTTACAGAAGCAGAAAGCCTCATCTTTCTCCTGCGTAACAGCTGGTAGATTCAAACTGATGACCTTGAAGTTAGCAGCCCAACTTGTAATCGACTACACTACCAATGATCTTAAGCTTTCGCCTAAAGTGCAATAGTTATTTTTAAATAAGGTCAGAGATTTTAATAGAATGAAAAAAAAATCTGGGAAGTCAAGTGTAAAAGATCAGGATTTTAATTGCATAAATAGTATAATACTGATAAAGTAAGCATAAAAAAAACACTAAGATCTAACAAAATATTGATAGTGGCTTTTTTTGGGAAGCAAAAGAATTAATTTTATTTTCTTTCTCTTTTTATAATTTTCAAATTATCTATAAGTAATGAAAAGGAGCTTCGGATTCCTTATCTTGTAATTTCATTTTTCCACAAACTTTTTGAGGCCTCCTTGTATACAACACATCTTCAATTAGAAAATATAATTTGCCAAGATGAAAACAACTAACATGAGTAAAATTTGTATTCTAAGTAGGATACATAATCATAGTAGTCCAACTAGAAAAGTTTTTCTAAGTCTTTCTAGTAATTGGCAGTTTTTAATCAAGCTGTCAGATGAATTTTTTGGGAGTCCTGGTATGGCACTGTAGGATAAGCACTGGACCACAAGGTTGGTTTCAATCATAAGTTCCACGGTTCAAGTTCACCAGCCACTCCTCGGAAACTCTATACAGGCTCGCTATGAGTCTGAACCTACTCAACAGCACTTAATAACAACAACAACAAATACCAAATTAGAATTTAAATAAACCACCATACTTTTACAGACTGGACACCTTATTTTCACCTTCTTTTGGTACCAACACAAAAAATTCAAGTCAGTTACATTTACTATCTTTACTTTTTAGAATTGCATAACAAATGAATTTAGAAAGCACTTAATAAATGGATCCAAATAAGTCTGATTTCCATAAACTATTTTTGTAATTTCTAATCATTGTGACAAGTTTTAAAAGATTAAAAACTCATGAGAATAATTTTTTTTCATGTTTTTCATATGCATTAGATTGAAGCATGTCATTCACTAATGGGATGCATTAGTCTGGAAAACTAATTAAATTGCAAATGTGGGTGGAGATCATAAGATCAACACATATTCAACCAAAATATCCAGTGCTAGCAGCGGAAAGCAGTGGGAGAAATACCCCTAATTCTCTCTTTCCATTTTTCCTCAGGAAGTGAGGAGGGGGGAAGTCACTAAGAACCTGCTTGCTATGACTATAAAGTTCATCCAAATAACGCATCTGGACTTTGACACCCATCCATCTCAGGCAGCTACTGACACATTCCAACAACGTTAGTGTCTCCCAAGACATTCTTGGAACTCCTCATTGGAAATATTCTTTGGATAAGTTTAGCAGTCTTAGATTGTCAACGTTACCTCTTAAAACAGGCTGCCGTTGGTTGTTCAGACTCGTGAAGACCCCATACGTGGCAGAGTAAAACTACATTCTATAGGGTTTTCAAAGGGCAGTTTTGGGGGAAGCAGATTGTTAGATCTTGCTTCCCAGGTATCTCTGGTGTACTCACACCTCTAACATTTCGGGCAGCAGCCAAGCACACTAGCTGACTCCTATCTCTTTATAGTTACAAAAAAATATTTGACCAACGAGTACAAAGTACATATTTTTGCCCAACTATTCAACAAATCCAAATGTCTTTTTCCAAAAAAGAAAAGAAAAGAAAAAAAAATCCATCTTCAAATGCTAGGAATATTCAGAAAAATTTAGAAAGTGTATGTAGCCAATATCAAAAAGTTACCTCTATCCCCCCCAACAAAATGTTTTAGGCAATTGTAGTAAATATGGGGCCTCCCAGGAAGATGAGTTTAAAAAATAAACATTCAATTGGATGTCTTAGTTGGGGTTTGTTTGTTAAAAATAACACTTGTGTTGCTTTTTTTTCACTTTATTTTCCATTCATAAATAATGTAGCCACTTCCTTCTCTTAAGGAACCCTGGTCATGTAGTGGGTTACCAGCTGGGCTACTGACTGCAAGGTCAGTGGTTTGAATCCACCAGCAGTTCCACGTGAGAAAGAGGAGTCTTTCTGCTCCCGTAAGATTTACAACCTCAGAAACCCTATACGGGGTCTCTATGAATCGGAGCCCCTCTTTGGTGTATAACCACCACCACTTCTCTTGTTCCTTCCATCCCCCACATGCCTCAACCCTCCTACACTTCTCCCCTCACCCAGTGTTCCCAACTCTCTGCTTAGACATCAGTTTACCACCTTCTCTGAACCTCAGTGCTCAAATTACCTAGGATTCCTATCTAGTATTACAGCCTAAAAAATGGAAAGGGTTTAAAAGTTTCAGCAGTGGCATCAGATTTAAGATTTCTAACAGCAGCCAGCTCAATCCTCACACATACTGTTGTTAGCTGGCATGAAGTCGGCTCCAGCTGTCAGTAACTCCTTGCACAAGGAAGAGATACTAAGTGCAAGTCCCGTGCCATGCCTATGACCCATTGAGAATCAGACCATAAAGTTTTCCTGGACTGATTTCTATCCCAGTCCATCCTAGTTTGGAAGTTTTGCTAAAACAAGTACAACATCATAGCAGCATGCAAGCCTCTGCTGACAGATGGGTGGTAGTGGCTTCGAATAAGTTGCATTGGTCTGCACTGGAACCTGGGTCCCACACATGGAAAGCAAGAATTGGAGCACAGAACCATCACCAGCTCCAATCCTAGCATATGTTGGTGTTGTCAAGTGTCTTCAAGTTGGTTCCAACTAATAGGAACTGTATATACGGGTTTCCAAGGAGCAGCTCTGGTAGCGTAATGGTTACGAGTCGAGCTGCCAACCTCAAGGTCAGCAGTTCGAAACTACCAGCGGTTCTGTGGGAGAAGGATGAGGCTTTATGCTCTCATAAAGATTTACAGCCTCCGAAACCCTGTGCAGGGTCACTATGAGTCAGAACCGACTCCACAGTACTTAACAACAACAACAAGGAGTAGCTGGTGGGTTTGAACTACTGATCTTGTTGTCAGCAGTCCAGTTCTTATCCTACAGTGCCACACCAGGACTCTAAGTCTTGAATATTGTTGTTGTTGTTAAGTGCCATCAAGTCAGTTCCTACCCATAGCCACCCCATGGGTTGTGATTGGTGAGCTGGAACCACCAACCTTGTGGCTCAAACTGACTTGCAGTCCAGCGCATTAACCCACAGCTCCACACCCTTGCATATAGTACATGTTTACAAAATATAAGTAATTATTATTGTTGTAAATTTTGTTCTCATGTTTATATTTGGATTTGCCTCTAGTAAGTGGTTTGTTTTTGCAACAGACAGACCTGACTCCTTAGGATGGACAGGGTCCCAGACTCTTTGCAAACCTGGGAAACTAAGCATCAGGCCTCACCTCCAATCCCCTGCCCTGACACTCACCTTCACACTCATTCCTCTGCTCCGAAGTAGCCGGCCACCACCGCCTCTGATTGTAGCCAGCGCAGCAGCTATCACAGGTCTCTCCACAGGTGTGGTGCCGACATTCACACCGAAACCTGGCCATGCGGGTGAAGCACATCTTGGTTACTAGAAAAGTCTGGATTAAAGTTCTCGTGTGAGAACTGGCCCATGAATCGAATCATCATGGTCATTCTGGCAAGTGCCACTGACTGAGCAGCTATGAGAACGAAGTGTTCTACCTCTATTATGTCAAGTTCCCCAGATCAAGCTTATAAGTCCCATTTTGCAGGTGACAAAATTAAGTTTCAGAGATACTGAAACACTTAACACGGTCACAGAGTGATAAATGGAGAGCCAAACTGCAAACCTAAGTCTACCTGAACCCAAAACTCCTCTACCACACAATATTACACGTAATGAGTACACAAGTAAGCCAGTGCCGAGCTCGCTAAGAAGTGTTAAGAATCCATTTACCTTGAAAACATCATGCTGAATGAAGTTAGTCAACCACCAAAGGACAAGTATGAGAGGAAGTCAAAAAGTAGTGCTATAAAATCATATAAATCTAATTTTAAAAAATATTAAATTGTTCCTAGACATATCCTCCATCTAGGTCTATACATTTCTAAAGGTGGTGCTTCCATCTCTGTGTCTTTGGAGAAAAATCTATCAAGATGACCCCTTGGGAATCCCAAGAATGCAGTCACCATAGCCTTCTGAGCTGACCTCGCTGTCTTGAATTAACTAGCCCAAGCAGATCCCCTCAGAAGCCACTATTCCAATCTGACCTTTTTGTTAAAGGCAACCTAATAAGACTAAGACCAGTGTCTCACTGAGAAAACTTGTCTACTGCCGCAGGGACATGTTTAAAGATGTTTTCTTGGAATAAACCCATGCACGAATGACAAGAATCCTAGTAGCAATACTTTTGACTTATTGAGCTTGGAAGTCCAGCACATTACCCCACAGTGCCACACCAGGATTTGTAAAATTAACACTGGCATAGCACTATGAAGGATATTAAAGCACTATGTTGCTAGCCAAAAAGGTTCAACCCTACCAGTTGTTCCACAGAAGAAAGTTGTATAACAGTCTGCTTCATAAAAGTTGATAGTTCTGGAAATCCAATAGGGTCATTCTACCCTATCTCACAAGTTCAATGTGATTCAAAATTGACTCAACAGCAATGGATTTGTTTTGGGTTTTACAAAACTAAGAACTAGAAGCTTTATTTGAGTTTCACTAACTTTTCCACTAATTCTTTTTTTTTTTTTCTGTTCCAGGGTCCAATCAAGGATATCACATTTACATTTAGAGGTTACTTGGTTTGAGGATACTTTGTAATGGCAGATGTATGTAAAATCAAGGATTCTGATCATTACAGGCTACTAGAAAATAATATACTTAAGTGTTTCTTAAACAAAATCTCTATTATCAGCATGTCAAAATGGATACAATGGGGGGGAGACATTTAAAGTAATATAAATCAAACCCACTGACATCAAGTTGATTCTAACTCAGCACTCCTGCACAAGGTTTCTAAGGCTGCAAATCTTGACAGGAGCAGAAAGCCTCATCTTTCTCCCTCAGAGCAGCTGGTAAGTTTGAACTGTCGACCTTGTGATTAGCGGTCCATTGCCCTTCAGCACCGATAGGACTCCTTCTTTAAATAACATAAACTGTTAAAAATACACAAGTCGATTTTAAGTTTCCTACAGAATCTCGTGCTTAATCTATTGCATACCCCACAAAGCCCATTCCAGAGGCTGTGTCAGCTCCAACAAACAGCTCTATCTCTGGGCCAAAAGCAAAGATTACTCAGTGAGGCAAAGGAGTAAAATTCAAAAATCTAAATTCCAAGGATTATGAATCTGCCCTAAAATCTTCCCAAGTTAAAGTGAAATTCTGTAGCCAAAACACTGGGCCAGAAGACCAGGCTTTGATCTCTTACTCAGCTCTACTTGAAAGAGGATTCAAATGACTTTTCTAAGAAAACTCATCTCTAAGGAGATGGATGGCAAATGTTTGGTTACCCACATCCAAAAGGGAGATATCATCCTTCTGCGGCTCAGCTGCCTATGAGAGTCGTGACATCGATGTAACTGGCAGTGCTCAGCAGCTGAAATCCAAACGCACACTTGTCAGAGAAGCAAATTCAGCTCACTGCCGTGAAATCTTTGGCACAAGCAGAATTCAAAGATTATTTAGAGAGGCCCACTGAAAGAACATGCAGTCCAATTACTCTCAAGTTGTTGCTCTCAAGTTGATTCCAACTCGTGGCAACCTCGTGTGTGCACAGTAGAACTGCCCTATGGGATTTCAGATTGCCAGTTAATTCTTCTGAGGCACCTCTTGTTGTTGTTGTTAGGTGCCGTCAAGTCGATTCCAAATCATTAACGACCTGATGCACAACAGAACGAAACACGTCCCAGTACTGACTCACCCTCACAATCATTGTCAAGTTAGAGGCCATTGCTGCTTCCACAGTGCCAATCCATCTCATTGGGGAGTCTTCCTCTTTTTCACTTACCCTCCACTTTACCTAGAATGGCTGGTTTCTTCTCCTAGTTGTCCATGGTACTCTTAATATTCTTCTCCAACACCTGGGGGCTGAGGGGGTCAAACCACAAACCTTTGGGCTAGTAATTGAGAGACTGCCATTTCTCCACCTGATTGTCATTGCTGGTAAGTGCGATCTAGTTGCTTCTGACTCATAGCAATCCTGTCTCTATAAGATTTCCGAGGTTTAAACTTTTTGCAGAAGCAGAAGGCTTCATTTTTTTCCAGAGGAGTAGCTATGGGCTCAAACTACTGATCTTATGGTTTGAAATCCAGTCATATCCTAGAGCCAACGTGTACTCCTTTCTTTCACAAACCCACTGCAAAGGAGTGGATTCCAACTCTTAGCGACCCTATAGGATACAGCAGAACTGCCTCATAGGGTTTCCAAAGCCTGTTCTTCACAGGAGCAGACAGCCTCATCTTTGTCCTGCAGAGTGATTGGTGGGTTTGAACCACCAACCTTGGAGTTAGCACCACCAGCGTTCCTGAATTACTCTAACGCTGCTGCTGTTGTTAGGTGCTATTGAGTCATGCACAACAAAATGAAACACTGCCCAGTCTTGTGCCATCCTCATAACTGTTGTTACATTTCAGACCATTGCTGCTGCCACTGTGGAAATCCATCTTATTAAAGTTTTCCTGTTTTTCATTGACTCTGCCAGTTTACCAAGCATGGTGTCCTTATCCAAGGACTGGTCCCTCCTGATAATACGTCCGGAGAAAAAAAGATGAAGTCTCATCATCCTGGCTTCAAAGGAGCATTCTGACTGTACTTCTTCCAACACAGATTTGTTTGTTCTTCTGGAAGTCCATGGTACTCTTGATATTCTTCTCCAACACCAAAACTCAAATGCATCAATTCTTTTATGGTCTTCCTTATTAATTGTCCAACTTTCACATGCATATTAGGCAGTTGAAAATAGCATGGGCTTAGGTCAGGTGCACCTTAGTCGTCAAACTGATATCTTTGCTCTTGAATACTTTAAGAGGTCTTGTACAGCACATCTGCCAAAAGCAATACGTCACTTGATTTCTTGACTGCTGTTTCCACGAGTGTTGATTGTGGATCCAAGCAAAACACAGTCTTTTACAACTCCAACTTTTTCTCCATTTATTATTACATTTTTTTTTACTGGTCTAGTTGTGATAATTTTTGATTTCTTTACATTGAGGAGCAATCCATACTGAAGACTGTAGTCCTTGATCATCAGTAAGTATTTTTTTTTTAAGTTTTTATTGTGAATTGAGTGATAGTTTACATGGGAGAACATCAGCTTTATACTCATCCTATTGTATTTGTTTCACTGCAATGATCACAATCCCCTCCATGCATCATCATTCAATAGCATTTGCTACCATTTCATTCTGGTTTTGTCTTGTTTTTTGTTTTGTTTTGTTTTGTTTTAAGATGTACACCATAGCACTTAGGAATAATTCAAACAACCAAAGGGCATACCCTACAAGCCTGCCCCCCGGCAGCTTGCACAGACCTTCTCCCTCCTTAAGTCTAAAGTGCCCAGCTACTCCATCTCTTCACATCATCATCAATGCCTCCATCTCTGGTGTTGCTACTTCTCTGAATAGGGTCCCACACTCCACTCTTCTCCCTTGATGTCCCAGGGTCCTCCGCTGCTGGACTGCAAGATCAACCACTCCCCTCCTTTTGTTACAAAATGTCTACCTTTACATTTGCAACACTCACAGTCAGTCCTGATAGCAATTATTCACTATTGAACCATGAGAGCCTTATCCCCATCTCCTTTCACCAGCCCCATCTAGACAGGTTGGAAACCACTCAGTGGAGATTCTACCTTCCCCTGCACCCTCTGAAACTAAACTCCCTCTTGAAAATTTATAAGCCAGTCACTTTGAGCCTTTATAGCCCCCGATTTTAGGTAGCCAATGTCTAAGTTGCCTACCCCTTTCAACCCTGTGTACAGAGTGGGTGGAAATGATCTTTGCTATGAAGATTCATTCCCTCTTTTAAGCTACTACATCCATAAATATAGGTCAAGTTCATCAAATTGTAGCGGATTACATAAGCCAGTCACTTTGAGCCTTTATAGCCCCCGATTTTAGGTAGCTAATGTCTAAGTTGCCTACCCCTTTCAACCCTGTGTACAAAGTGGGTGGAAATGATCTTTGCTATGAAGATTCATTCCCTCTTTTAAGCAACTACATCCATAAATATAGGTCAAGTTCATCAAATTGTAGCGGATTACACTTTTTTCCTCTTCTTTCTTCCCCTAGTTGAGTTCTGATCATCCAGCCATTGAAGCCAGAAAGTAGCCCACACACACACAGCCAACTAATTTTTGACAAAGGGCCTAAGTATATTGCATGAGGAGGAGATAGTCTCTTCAACAGATGGTGCTGGCAGAACTGGAAAGCGATATGCAAAAGACTGAAACAAGACCTTTATCTCATGCCTTATACAAAAAACAACTCAGAATGGATTAAAGACCTAAATGTGAATCCCAGAAATGTGAAGGCCATCAATGAAAAAAATAGAGACAAATTTGAGGGCTCTAATACAAGGGACACACAGACTACCAAACATTTGTGAAAACTGTACACACAAAAGAAGGTAAATAGATGATTGGGACATACTAAAAATTAAAAACTTATATGCATCAAAAGACTTTGCCAAAAGAGTAAAAAAGGAGCCCGTAGAGAGAAAAAATATTTTGCAACGATGCATCAGACAAGGGACTAATTTCTAAAATATATAGGAAACTCTAACACCTTTACAAGAAAAAGACAACCTAATTTTAAAATGGGCCCAGGATATATACAGACACTTCACCAAGGTCTTCACTGAAGAGACTCGTGCAGCCAACAAACATATGAAGAAATGTTCACAATCACTAGCCACTAGAGAGATGCAAATCAAAACAACAATGAGGTATCATATCACACCAGCAACAACAGCAAAGTTCAAAAAAGTAGAGGACAATAAATGTTGGTGAGGATGTGGAGAGACTGGGACCCTCCTACATTGCTGGTGGGATTGCAAAATGGTCTAGCCACTCTGGAAAATGGTATGGCATTTCCTCAGAAAATTGAAAATAGAAATACCTTATGATCCAGCAATCCCTCTACTTGGTATTCATCCACAAGAAATATCAGCCATAACACAACTAGATACATGCACACCAATGTTCATAGCAGCACTGTTTATAATAGCAAAAAGATGAAGACAATCTAAGTGTCCATCAAAGGAAGAATGGATAAACAAACGTTGGTACATACACACCATGGAATATTATGCTACCTTGAAGAATAATAAGGAAGCTGTAAGCCACCACATTAGATGGATGAACCTTGAGGATTCTACATCCTGAAACATTTCTTCAAAGAACTGTAACAGGAGATGAACTATGACTTTCCAGTATGATCCTGAAGACAAAGCACAACCAAAGCAATGGCAGCCAGGAGGTGGAAGTAGTTCAGTCAGAGCAAAAGTGGACAGGTCAAGAGCAAAGTCATGCCAACAGTTTTAGAGGATGCTCATGGCATTTTGCTGCTGACTTTCTGGAAGGCCAAGGAACAATAACATCTGCTTATTAGAAGAGTGTTTTAAGAAAATCAATCAAAGCGTTAGCAGAAAAATGCTCAAGAAAGCTTCCTCAAAGGGTCCTTCTGCATTTCAACAACACTCCTACAAACCAGAGCAATTTGGTAAGAGTTTTGATGGGAGGTCATTAGGCATTCACCTTTCAGTGGAGTCCTGATTTGACTCCTTCTGACTTCTTTTAGCTTCCTAATCTTAAACAAATCTTTAAAAGGCACCCATTTTTCTTCAGCTAATAGTATAAAAAGACTGCACTGATATGGTTACATTCCCAGACCCTCAGCTCTTTAGGGATGGACTAAATGACTGCCATCATCACTTACGAAAGGATCTTAACATTGATGGAGCTAATGTGGAGAAATAAAGATTGTTGTTTTTTTTTTTTAATTTTATCTTTTAATTATATTTTTCATGAACTTTTTGCTACTAGTGTTTCAATTCATACATGCATAGGTTTATTCCAAACAAAATATGTTTAAACATGTTTCTGCAATAGGTGGATGACTGTAGACAATTTTTCTCAGTAAACACTTGTTTTAGTCTCGCTGTTGTTGTCATGTGCTGTCAAGTTGGTTCTGACTCATAGCGACCTTGTATAGGTTTCTGAAGAACGGCTGGTAGGTTTGAACCACTAACCTTGCAGTTAGCTTATCCTACAGAACCATACTAGTTCCTTAAAAACAAAATAAAAAGTGGTCCAATCAAAACAGTGGCTTCTGAGAGGATCTGCTAGGCCAGCTAGTCAAGGCAGAGAGGCCAGCTCAGACGGTTATGGTGACTGTTTTGGGGGGATTACCAAAGATAACCTTGATAGATTTTCTAGAAGGACACAGGACAATCACGGGTGCTGGTTAGGCAAAAAATTTAAGAACACTGAAAACTGCATTGGTGGGAAATAAAAGGCCAGGAAAGTTGGGCAGAGGAAATGTTTTCCATCACTGCAGTGCAAGGGTAGCAAAGACTGTCCTGCAAGAATTCCATTGGAAAACCTTACCCTATCCACCCTACAGCCGTGATCTTGCCCCTACAGACTTCTTTTGTTTCCTTAATGCAAAGAACATTTCAGGGGAACCCAATTTGAGTCCCCGGAAGATGCCAAAACTGCCATTTTGACATGGCGCTGCAGGTTAATGCACTGGACTGCAATCTCACTTTGAACCTCAAGGTCGATGATTATTCAAGCTCACCAGGTGCTCCTCAGAAACCCTATATAGGGTCACTATGCGTCAGAACCAACTTGACGGCACTCAACAACAGAAAAATTAAAGAACGCAGAATTCTTCACGGGGGGGTTGGAAAAATGGAAATACCACCTTCAGAAATATATAGACAGGCCTATATGGAGGATAAGGAGTTCTGGTAGCATAGTGGTTACAAATCGGGCTGCGAACCGCAAGGTCAGCAGTTTGAAACTATCAGCTGTTCTGTGGGAGAAAGATAAGGCTTTCTGCTCCCGTAAAAGATTTACAGCCTCAGAAACCCTGTACAGGGTCGCTATGAGTCAGAATCGACTCCACGGCACATAACAACAACAACAACAACAACATGGAGGATATATAGAGAAACAATGGCTTTGCATTTTGATACTTTTGTCCCTATAATTTTGTAGCAATACTTTTGACCTACCCTCATATTTAATAGTGCAGGCACATCCACTGAAACAATTAGATGTGATCACGGCAAGGCTAGAAACATTTGCACATGTACTTACAGTTTCTCAGGATTGTTTGCATTACACACGTCAGCGTGGCCATTGCAAACACACCGCCCACCAATGCTGATGTCCTTTATGCTGTAGTAATACTATACAAACAAAAACAGAGCGAGTCAGTGTCACTGAAGAGCAACATAAACCTTCCCTCACTAAGTATCTGCAGCCCACGGCTGTGTCTGCCCTGTCTCGCTTTTCCTTGTATTCGTGAGCCACTTCAACACAAAAGGCAGCCACAGTCAGATGTAATTTGTCTTTAAAAAAACAGATGCATTCCCTAATCAAATTTAACCACCTACTGCCAAATTTCTCCAGTTTTCAAAAATCAAGTGCTTTAAATGAATTGAAGGAAATAGATTTGGGAAAGAATCATATCCTATGGCCTTTTGAAAAGGGATTAACTTGTAATTTGTTGTTTTCTGTTTTTGCTTTGTTTTAATCTTTAATTTATAAATGGACAACAGTCATGCACTATATTATATTCAGTCAGGAATGTCTGGTCAGTCCCGTATATATCCACAGTGCCATCAAGTTGTTGGAGTCCTGGTGTGGCCCTGCGGTTTACCGTGCTAGACTGCAAGGTGGGTTTGAACTGCAAGGTCAGTAGTTCCAGCTCACCAGCAGTTCCTTGGAAACCCTATACAGGGTCACTATGAGTCGGAACTGACTCATCAGCACTTAACAACAACAACATAAGGTTGTTAGGATAAGCATGGAACTTCAAACCATAAGGTCAGCCGTTCAAGCTCACCAGCCACTTCATGGGAGAAGAACGGGGCTTTCTGGTCCCAGAAAAACTATACAAAGCCTCAGAAATTCTATACTAGGTCATGATGAGGAGAAACCAACTCAACAGCACTGAACAACAACAACGTAAGGTTGTGACAGAGATCAGAAATCCCAGAGAATGGGCCATTGTAAACATAACAGCTCCCTGAACACACCAATGCTGCTCACGTCTCTTCTATACAAAGTGATAAAGCTGCCAGGTATGAGAGGGTACAGTACGTATATACAACACATAATGCATAGGTCTTGACTGTTGTTGTTGTTAAGTGCCATCGGGTCATTTCTGACCCATAGTGACCCTGTATAGGGTTTTCAAAGGAGCCACTGGTGAACTTGAACCACCGACCTTGCAGTTCCAGCAACTTTGCAGTCTGATGCATTAGCCCACAGCACCACACCAAGACGCCCTATAGGTCTTGTGGTCATATTAAATGCATAGTTACTGGCTTATGTATGAACTGTACTGTACTTTCCAGCTAGAATGTTTACTGTCTCACAGTGTATGTTTCAACTTCAGTTTTCAACTTGCAGGCATCAGTTTCTGTTTCATTTTCTTTAGAAAATATTACAACTTGCCTCATGACTTCCAAATGTAGAAAAGCCAGTGCCAGTGATGGTTTCGATTTGGAAGTGAAACAAAAGGTTATTAAACAGCACAAAAGTGGAAAATCAGTGAATGCTATTGCTTGCAATTTAGGAATTCTGCACTCCACAATCATGATGATCTTCAAAAACAAAGAAAAATTATCCATGCTGATGAAGTCACTGAAAGATACAAGGCTAATGAAAATGAGGGCAGTATCAGCTATGTTGTTGTTTGTGCCCTGGAGACCGTACCAACTCATAGTGACCTTATGCACAACAGAGGGAAACACGGCCCAGTCCTGGGTTAACCTCACAATCAGTGCTATGCTTGAACCCATTGTGCAAATCCATCTTCCCTCTTTTTCAATGACCCTCCAGTTTCTCCAGGAACTTGTCCCTCCTGTTATATATATGTCCAAAGTATGAGAGACTAAGTCTGGCCATCCGGGCTTCTAAGAAACATTATGGATGTAATTCTTACACCACAGATACATTTGTTCACTTGGCAAGCCACAGCACTTTCAATATTTGCCTCCAATACCATAACTCAAATGCATCTATTATTCTACAGTAGTCTTGATTCATTGTCCAACTTTTACATGCATATGAGTTATTGACAATACCATGGTTTGGGTCAGGTGCGCCTTAGTTCTCAAACTGACATCTTTGCTCTTAAAGACTTTAAAAATAGGTTTTGTACAGCAGATTTTTCCTGGTGGCATAGTTGGTTACCCGATGGGCTTCTAACTGCAAGATCAGCAGTTCAAATCCACCAACCACTCTGAGGGAGAAAGAAGAGGTTTTCTGCTCCCAAAAAGATTTAAAACCCCACACAGGGTCGCTATGCGTCAGAATCCACTCGATGGCAATGGATGTGGGCAAATAAGGAGCTCTGGTGACACAATGGGTTAGGGATTGGCCTGCGAACCAAAATGGTAGCAGTTTCAACTCATCAGCTGCTCCGCAGGAGAAAGATAAGGCGATGTGCTTCGGTAAAGATGACAGCCTCTTTAGCCCTGGGAAGTAGTTCTCTGCTCTATAGAGCCCTCGGACTCAGAAGTGACTTGACAGAAGTAGGGTTGTTTGTTTTGTTTTGTTTTTTGGTTTATGTGCTTGGGTGGTACAAACAGTTAAGTGCTTGGCTGATAACCAAAAATGGGGGGTTCAAGATCTACCCAGAGGCAACCTGGAAGTAAGACCTGGCAATCTAGTTTCAAAAGGTCAATACCATGAAAACCCTGTGCACATATGGGGTTCTACTCTGCACATGCGGGGTCACTGTGAGTTGAAATCTTTGGGGTTTTTATACTCACAATACTGTTCTAGGAGCTGGGGAAGGAAGACGATATTTACAAAAATTAATCAGATACAGCACTAAGCCTAGCAGGGCCACTAGCAGTTATGGTGGGTCTGTGAATAAGACCAAAGGCAGAGGTGCAAGCTCCACCGAGGTCAGACAGCAAGCTGTAAATGACTGGCTCCTTATCTGGGCCACAAATAGGTAGGATAGGCACTGGACTGCTCACCACAAGGTTGGGAGTTCAAACCCACCAGCTGCTCCTGAGAAACCTTACACTGGATGACTGTGAGTTGGAACCAACTCGACAGCACTTAACAACAACGTCTCATTCACAAGACACATCTGCAGTATGTTGGCGCCTGTCCTTTAATGAAGATTGGTGGCGCCGTATGCCAGCGCTCCTACTTCTCAGACTTGGCAGAAGGCAGCATGGGAGTCAGGCAGGAATGTGGGAATTTTCCTGTAAAACTCTCAAAACTGAAGCTAAACTTTTTCTCTCACTCTCTCCTTTCCTTTCTCACCTCTCCAATATTACCTACACAAAAAGCCAAACTCTACCAGGTGTCCTGGGAATTCGCTGCCCTAGGACCACTCTCCAACCTGCTCTTTTTCCTGAACTTAATGGATGACTGTCATGCTTTGGGGGTTGGCCAGTAGGAGGCGCATATCCTTTGGGTCACGCTGCCAGTGAGAAGAATACCTGTTAGTGAGGAAGTCTTTGAATTGGAAAACACAAAAGGCCCTGTGTCTTTTTGTTGTTGTTGGGTGCATTCGTCTTCAACAACTCTATTCAGGGGTTGTTTGGGTTCTGTTCTGGTTTTCTAATTGAAAACTGTTACAATGTCAAAGCTTCGTGGCAGCATCTTAATACTCTGGAGACATCACCACCCCCACCCCCACCCCCACCCCTTGTCAATTCTGGATAAAGTCACTGTTAACGGGGATTCCCAGGGCAAGTTACCCCCTCAGAGGCTTTAATGAGATCAACACAGAGGTGTCTTTCTCTGCAGGTATTAAGAGCTGATATAACAAGACAGAAATGGACTAGCTCAGCCTTTCACATGATTTATGTGATGGGATTGTTGTCCCTGTAGTTAACTGCCCTGACTCACGGCAACCTTATGTACAATGCAATGAAACACTGTCCAGTCCTTCACAATTCCCTTCACTGTCCCTATGATGGGTTGTAGATGGGACCATTGTGATCCACACAGTTTTCACTGACTGATGTTCAGAAGTAGACCCCTAGGCCTTTCTTCCTGGTCTACCTTAGTCTGAAAGCGCCACTAAAATCTGTTTTAGCACCATAGCAACACGCAAGCCTCACTGACAGTGTGGTAGGATAGCTGGTCTTACTTACACTCCTCCACTTAAAGGCGTACCGTTGATCTGGGGCGTCAAGATTACATGTGTACCACTCTAAAACAATCGTATAATGGAGAAGCCTATGTTCACCTCAGTGAAAACACACGTATGATGGCCACAAATCTTACAAACCCCAAAAAGACAATAAAGACACAAGTAGGGCCTGAAGCACTTCTGTGGCACCTGGAGACATGGAATCCACAACGCAGCAGCTCTCACTTGTCAACATCCATCCTTGATCCAACAAGGCCCTCTACCTCTGCAGCAGCTCAGAGAGGGCTAAGTGGGCAAGAAATGCATCAGATGAACCATTTACACCCAAGGTGCTTGGACTTTTCCTGTAAAACTCTCAAAACTGAAGCTAAACTTTTTCTCTCGCTCTCTCCTTTCCTTTCTCACTTCTCTAATATTACCTATACAAAAAGCCAAACTCTACCAGGTGTCCTGGGAATTCGCTGCCCTAGAACCACTCTCCAGCCTGCTCTTTTTCCTGAACCTAATGGATTGAAACAACAGAATGTCATGCCCTTCAGGTTGGCCAGTAGGAGGCACTGGCAGGATATGAGATGGTGGGAGAAGAGTGAGCGAGGGTATTTATCCGTGGGGTCCCTCTTGAGAGATGGTGCTGCTGTTCTAACATCTGAGAGTGAGCAGTGCTCAAGGTGAACATCTTCTTGCGGTCATCAGTATCTGTGTTCATCTCTCTGTCTTGTTGGGCACACAGCTAGATTACATTATCCAGCATCTTTACCCATCCATCTACGTGGAATTATAAAGGGGCTTCAAAAGTCCATAGAAAAAATGGAGAGAATAGACAATGGAGTTTTCTCATCAACTTTTTGGTCAGTTGTTGCAACTGTAAAGGATGGTCTCATACATGGTCAGTTCTTGCAACTGTAAAGGATCTGCATGGTTAGAAACAGGTACTATCTTCTGTTTCTTCATCTGCTGAACAGATGCAGGGGACTTCAGAGGAAGATTCTGGGACCCACAGGCTGACTATGTCTCTAGATACAAAAAGCCTGGGTCCCTGAATGACTGCGTGGAACAGATCCCACCTGCTGACCCACAAAAGACTACAGCATAAGCAAGAAATACACCTTCATTTTGCTATGTCTCTGAGACTTGGCAGCTGGTAAGATAATAACAGTTAGATTACCCAGACTGTTATGATTATGAACTATCCAGATTATAGCCTATCCAGGCTGGCTATAACAAGCTCTGGTAGCCTAATGATTATGAGTTGAGTCACTACCTCAAGGTCAGCAGTTCGAAACTACCAGTCATTCCATAGCAGAAAATGGAGGCTTTTTGCTCCCTTAGAGATTTACAGCCTCGGAAACCCTGTGCAGGGTCACTATGAGTATTAACTGACTCCAAGACACATCACCACCATAACCACAGGCTGACTATAATCTTCTGATTTTTATCTTTTTAATGTAATGATTTTTCTTCAAACAACCAAATTCCTAATTGCATCTAGTATTTCAGACAAAAACGACTTCTATGCCTACACCATTCCTGGCTATAAAGGTTACTTGAAAGAGTTCAAGGCAATTAATTTGACAAACAAAAATAGCACTAAAAGCTACTGAGGATGCATTTGAAAGCCTCTACTCACTCGACGCGTGACGGTTGGATCTCGCTGTGCTTTGGAGATGAGGTGCCCGAGGAGCGTGTTGGTTCGAAGGAAACGCAAGCGGATGTTTGTTGCCTTGGTAAAGTCCCTCAGGGTTGGAGAAAAAGTAAAATTCTTTGCACCTGGCCGGCCATTTATTAAGGACACCACAACCTAAAATAACCACAATCACATAAGAAAAAAAAAATCCTTTCATTAAAATTCAGCAGCAATTAAGTAAAAACAACTCAATGTCCCAAAGCACTTGGTTTCTTTGCGCCACTAGATGTTTGTAAGTGGTCTTGGATCCTATTTATATACAAAGATATCACTGCCAGTTTCATCTTCCTTCCCTTCCTACTTCCAAAGTCTGGCAACATGTCCATGAAACCTGGGCTCCTGGACATGTTATCATGTCATTTCCAACCCCTTTGTTTGATCCTCACAGTTGTGGGGCTGTGAGCTATGAAAATATGTTAAAATTCATAAATATAAAGATATAAACTTGTCAAACTGCATCAAAGAAACCAAGCTAAAGTATAAACTCAATGAGGTTGAAAAAGAATGTCTCTGGATATGCCGTTGACAGTGTTGGCGCCAAAGTCATATATAGACACAAGCAGGTTTTATTGCAAACATTTGAAAGGTGACCCACTCACCAACTGTCAGAAGATACTGGGTGAGGTTGCTCAAGAAAGAGCTCTCTGCTTAAAGAAAGGGAGAATGACACCCTTTAATTACTTTAATCTGAGGCCCAGTTCATGTTCATTTTGGCCTCACAATTTCTCTAGAATTCTTAACTGATGTTTCCCACCTCTGTTTTCCCATTTGCTTTAAAACTAACCTTGCTGACTTCACAGGAGCCAAATGCAACCCTAATTTTTTTTTCCCCAGAAACCGTTTATGTCCAACAGATGGTGCCCTCCCTGTCAAAAGGAACCAAGGGTTAGCAGATCACCTGCCCCTCATCTCCTTACAAGGGATAATGTTTGTGAAGAGGTTAGAAGGGTCACTGTGGCTACCACCAGTGACCTGTTTGCTGAATATGCCACCAGGAAGGCTGGTTTAAGACCCATGGTTCTTGAATCCTAAATCCTGAATCTTGACCTCCTGGGGAGAATTCAAGACTAAACAGAACCCTCAATTTGATTCATTTATCACTTGGTCCTGAGCACAGTTTCCATCTTGATTTATGGTAGGTCTCCATGTTCACATCTGAATCTTACCTCACACAGCCTCCCACATCTACTCACCTCGCCATTCTCCAAAGGAACTATACGAGAATACTCAGTAATGCAAAGCACATCATCATCCCTAGTGATGGCCAGATTTGCCTCCTGTCCAAAGTGTTCCAAACAGTCTCGTTTAGAATCTAGGAAGAAAACATTTTAATAGTATAAAAGAAAGTATCACCACTTTGTTGTCAATCTCGTAGCAAGCTTTCTGTTTCTTTAAGAAAATAAAAGACAAGAGTGAAACATTTAAGACCTATAGACAAAAAGCTTAAGAGGAAGGTTTTCATTCATGAAAGAAAATCAGTTTCAGCTGCAATATTTGGAGATGAACTGTAAATCTTCACACCTCATTAGGAAAGTTTTCCCTTTGGGGCACTTTCATGGAAAATTCAACCCCTTAAAAAGTATGCAAAATTGCTGTTCACCTCAATTTATTATAAGGTTCAGAGACATTGCTATTCTTCACTAATAAAGATAGATAGCAGAGTCAAGGTAAGTAACGCACAACATAGGACCCACAAAGATGGAACTCAGTTCCGAATTTTACATAAAAATTGGGCTGGAGCTGTGACGCCCCACCCCCACCCCTTCCAGGTACACTTGTAAGTACCATGGAGTCAGTTCCGCCTCATGGTGACCCTGTAAGGTTTCTGAAGCTTGTTTTTAATCTTTGTAAGAACAGAGAGCTTCATCTTTCTCCAGCGGAGCAGTTGGTGGACTCAAACCACCAATCTTGTGGTTTATAGTCCAGTGCTTATCCTATGGAGACCATGCTCCCATAGATACACTGCTCCATTTCAGGTAGTATAAGAACTGTTAACACAAAGGTATTTCAATCTTAGTTCTACATGTGATATCCTTAAAATAAATGTGCACATGCTTTAGAAATGGGGAGACTTTGAGGGTGACTTAAAATATTAAAAAGTAACCATCCCACCTCACCCCCAACCAAACAACAGACAGGCTTATAAGGTGAACAAGAATATCCAGGGAGATATACACTCCTTAGAAAAACCAAGCATATGAGATCAAAAGGGCAGCGTTTACTCAGGGATAAAGCTCAGACGGCAGGAAGGGATAGGAAAGAAAGATGAATGAAAACAGTAAACATATGAAGGAAGTATGAAGAGTGCTGTTCATTATGGAACTACAATCAATGTCACGAATCAAAATGTGTACGAAGGTAAAATCAACTTACTCTGTAAACTTTCACCCAAATCACAATTAAACACTCAAAAAGAGAGAGGGAAAAAGGAGAAAAAAAACAACAATAAAACAGAACCAGTATCATGAAACTATGTATAAACTATTGGATGGGAAATGAAATTGTTCTGTAACGTTTCACCTACAGCAAAATAAAGAAAATTTAAGTGATCAGCTCCTTTCAAGCAACACTGAGAGATTCATTTTCTAATGAGCCCCATCCTGGAACTGTTGGAAATAAAGGTCCTCATAACTTTACAGTAGACTAGATTACTTACGAGCAAAATATTGCCAAGGTAAATAGGTGTTTCCAAAGTCCACAGATCTTTCCAAGACCCAAAGGTCAGGGCGAGGAGAGTTTGCAAATTTGATTAAAACATAGGCCACATGGAAGAGCTGATAAAGCAAAAGAGGTACAGTTATTAAAGTCACTTTGTCTGTCTAGAGCTTCAACTACCTCTGTGTAGTGCTAATTCCCAAAGCAACATAGCTGGCCATAACCCTTCTCCCAAGAGCCAAAGGTTTAATTCCAGCTCTGACTGGACAACACTATCCAGGTACAGCCCCTCTAGTTTCTTGCAATTAAAATTAGAATCATTTTTCTTTCTTCGCCAGATCTAGACATTAATCACCATTCTCTTCACATTTTAACAAGTACACACTTGAAGTTCAAACACCTACATGACAGCAATCTATACATTCAGAGAATTTCAATGTCAAGCAATAATAGTACAGCCCATAGTACAGAAGTGTCATGCTCCACCCCCAAGCGTCAGTTACAGGCATTGGAGAGCTCACAGCTGCTGCACTGAGTCCTGGGTAGCTGTTCAATGGAATTGTAGAACCTCCCACTGCCCCACTGCCATTATGTTCCCCTTTTTCTGATCAGCATCCCTTTTAGTAATTTTCTTATTTGCCTTCAGACCCAGAAACCCAGTTGCCATCAAGTTGGTTCTGACTCATGGCAAGCCTATGTGTGTCCAGGTAGAACTGTCCTCCTTAGAATTTTCAAAGGCTGATTCTTTGGAAGTAGACTACCAAGACTTTCTTTTAAGACAACTCTGATTGACTTGAACCTTCTTCAAACTTTTTTTGTTAGCAGATGAACACATTAACCATTTATAGCACCCAAGACCAGGACCATGCAAAAGCATTAAAGAGATGCAATGGGCCTTTTTTCACTCTTTCTTCACCCTCCTAGAACCCCAACGTGCTTTTTGTGGGGAACTCCCAGGATTCCTTGCTGTATATTCTATCTCCTACCCTCAAAATGTATCTGGATTAAATGTTGGATTCCAAGGTCTACATATTTGCAAAAAAAAGCATGGTATGAGAGTGAACACAACCACTGGACAATCTATGTTAACGTGTTAATGATCCCCACTCCAAATCTTCTAACCTCCAGGTAAAAGATGTGACAGTGACTTTCTGAAGATGATGTCCACACCTCTATTAGCTATGCTAGTAAAGCCATGTAGACAGTGAGGTCATCTAGCTATAGACCTGTGTACAGGGCTATGTCCTTTCACCATACTTATTCTATCTGTATGCTGAGGACATAATCCGAGAAGCTGGATTATATGAAGAAGAACATGGCATCAGGATTAGAGGAAGATTCATTAACAATCTGTGATATGCAGCTGATACAGCCTTGCTTGCTGAAACACGGAGAGGACTTGAAACATTTACTGAAGAAGATCAAAGACCACAGCCTTCAGTATGGATTACATCTCAGTGTAAAGAAAATAAACATCCTCACAAATGGGTCAATAAATAACATTATGATAAACGGAGAAAAAACTGAAGTTGTCAAAGATTTCATTTTGCCTGGATCCACAATCAACATTAGTGGAAGCAGTAGTCAAGAAATCAAATGACATGTTGCATTAAGTGAATCTGCTGCACAAGACCTCTTTAAATCAATCAAGAGCAAAGACACCTATCAGTTTGAGGACTAAGGTGTGCCTTGCCCAAGTCATGAAAATTTCAGTAGCCTCATACGCATGTGAAATTTGAACAATGAGTAAAGAATACTGGAGAAGAATGGATGCATTTGAGCTATGGTGTTAAAGACGAATATTCAAAGTACGGCAGACTGCCAGAAGAACAAACAAATCTGTGTTGGAAGTACAGACAGAATGCTCCTTAGAAGCCAGGGACGGTAAGACTTCATCTCTTATACCTCAGACAAATTATCAGGAGGGACTAGTCCCTGAGAAGGATATTATGCTTGGTAAATTGGAGGGCCAGTTAAAAAGAGGAAGCCCCCAAGGAGATGGCTTCACACAGCAATAGACTGAAACGTACCCACAACTGTGAGGATGGTGCAGTACCAGGCAGTGTTTCATTCTATCCTGCAGAGGGTAGCTATGAGTCAGAACCGACTTGGTAACATAAAATAACAATGAGAATACTCAGATCCTGTGGGATCTTTTCCTTATCTGAAAAAAATTTTTTTTCATAGATGTTTTACAGCAAATGGAGGAGAGTGGTTGACTTTGCAGTCCAGAAGCATCAGGGGAGAAGAGTGGAATGCAGGATCCTACCCAGAGAAACAGTGACACCAGAGATGGAGGCAGAGATGATGACAAGGAGAGATGGAGCGGCTGGGAACTCTAGACCCAGAGCAAGAGAAGCTATGTCCTGACGACCAAGGAGGTGAGAGGGACAGGTTTGCGGGGTATACCCTTTGGTTGGTTTATGTTGCAATGGAGGGGATTGTAACCATGGCAATGGTAATGAGATATGATAGGATGAACGTAAAGCTAGTGTTCTCCCATGTAAACTAGCACATAATTCACAATAAAACATTCAAAAACCAAAAAAAAAATTTTTTTCACATACAGTTGAGTCAAATAATTTAAAATAAATAAATAATTATAAATCTGAGAACTATCAACTAATGTAAATATTCCAAACCCTAAACTAGAAGCCAGAAAATCTAGAACAATGGTTCTCAAACTTTTTGGCCTCAGGAACCCTTACTACTTTTTTTTTTAATTTTGGAGGACCGCCCAAAAAGCTTATATTGCATCTATCCATGTTTACCGTATAAAAATTAAAATGGAAAGTTTTAATAGATGTATTTTTTTGTTCATTTAAGGAGTCCTGATGTGGCACTGTAGGATAAACAATGGACTGCTAACCACAAGGCTGGGGATCAAACTCACCAGAGGCTCCTTGAAAGCTGTAAGAGTCGCTGAGTCAGAACCAACTAGACAGCACTTGAACTCATTTAAAGGCGTCCTAGTGGTACAGTGGTTAAGCACTCAACTGCTAACCAGAAAGTCAGCAGTTCGAACCCACAAACTGGTCCACAAGAGAAAGATGCAGCAATCTGCCTCCATAAAGACAGAGTCTTGGGAACCCTCTAGGGCAGTTCTACTACCACTGGCAGGGTCACTATGAGTCAGAGTTGACTCCAGGGTAGTGAGTTTTGTTTTGTTTATTAACTCATTTAAAGTGATAACAATAAACCCATTACATGGTACCAGAAATAACATATTTTTATGGAAAAACATTTATATTACAAAGCAAGAAAGGCAGTGAGAATAGTGTCATCACATTGTATTTTTAGCAAATCTCTTTGTCTGCCTTAATAGAAGGCAGCTGGATTCTCATGGCTACTTCTGCATTCAATCAGTTGTGACCTGTTGGATTGGCTGGAGCATAGAAGACGATCTGGCCTCACATAAATATGTGGTGAGAAGGAAAGAGACCACACTGAAAAGCCTTGGGGACACTCATGGCTTCTCATACCATACTTTGAGGACCACTGCTCGAAGCTATAGTGTTTTACTCTTTGCACTAAGAAACCCTTTTGCATACTTCAAAAGGAAGAATTACCACACTAATTACTGCCAACCCCAAGTTCAGCAAGTTCTGTCCCATTCAGACATCTGCTCTTTGATCTTGGTTCAGGTGAACACCCCAGACTGTGAACCAACACTTGGAAAAACTGATCTAACCTTGTGGAGAAAAACTAATTAGGAATTATAAGGTATTCTGAAAACTACAAAGCAATACATAAAGATAGGTGTAATAATTTCCAAAGCCATATACTATTATTATATAGTGAAAGAATTCATAGGAAATTCAAGAACTCCCGGTTTGTAAAAGCAGAACAAATAGACTTTCCATCAAACTCTTAGCACATCTCTCTCATGTCACATTGAAATAAGACCACTTTTAGATATATGAATAAAATTGAGTACAACCAAAAACCCTTTTGGATAGAGGAATAATTCAAGACATCCATAAAACCCCATAATCATAGCATACTTGTCCTCCTTCCAAAAAAATTGGTTTCCCTAACAGCTTATAATTTTAAAATTATTGTGTTCCAGGCAACATAAATGCTTCATTGATATTCTCTCAATTATGCCTCACAATAAAAATTGGTGCTTCGTTTGCCCCACTTTATAGCTGAAGAAAGTGTGGCATAGAGCAGTTAAGTAACCAGCCCACATCATAAAGCACTCAAAACCTGGGGCCTATACAAGTATCTATCTCAAAGAGCACAAGATCCAGTAGATACAGCCCCCCCCCACTTTCCCCAAGTTTGCTTTTACAAAAGACCTACATTAGTACCTGTTACCGCTAACTGAAAGAAATCCAAAGAGGATTTCAGCTTTTATGAATAAAATGAAACTAGCGACCTGTGTTTGTTTCGCAGCAATCAATTTAAGAGGCAGTGGGCACCCCAGGCAGCAAGAAAGGTGTCACCAAGCTTACGTTCAACTTCTTAGCATCAAGCCACTATGGCTTTGAACTGTGTCTGTGAGCACTACTTGTTAGTGTTACATGATTTGAAAGGTTATTTTGTAAGGTCTGGACCATCAAAACTATTTCCCATAGAAATCAATGGTATCTCTTGATGCCATTTTGGTCTATAAAAGATTTCATAGGTACACTCTACTTTCAGATAGCATTTTCAGATAGGGAAACTTTATGTACATTTGATCTGTTTCATCTTGAGAGAAATAAATTGTCAGAGAAGTTCTTAACATGATTTCCAGATATATTTAAATTCCATTACAGGAAGCCTGGAGGCAAGAAATTACCTTATAATACATCTGGAGGGTTATTTGAGTGCACTGGTTTTCCAAAGTTGTTCTTCCTGCCACTAAAAATCCAAGTTATCAAATAGCTTCTGTAGGCGCAAAAGGGAACCTCCCCATTTAGCCTCATCAGGTTCTGAGATAATGTGTGATGCCTTTGAAACAGCATGAAAGTTGGACATCCATATCTAGAAGCAGGTGGAGACATGTCATGGAGGGCCTCCACTTACTCTCTGAGTCTACAATCCGGCCTAACTTAACAACTCCACAGAGGCCAGCACTCATCAGACAGGACATTCATTTCTTTCCCTCCCATCTTTGCCTTAGGAAAGATAT